CAGGCAGAGGGACATGGGCAGCGGCACGTAGGCTGTGACCTTGGGACTGCCCACAGCCTTGCTGGGTGGGTGATGATGTTCTTATTTGTCACAACACTTACTGAGCGTCTGTTATGTGTCAGGCACTGTGCCAGGTGCTTTACATGATCTCCTTTCATCCTTACTGAAATGACCAGGTAAGTATTGTTCCCATTTAGAGATGGTAAGTCAGAGGACTAGCAAGGCTAAGTCACTTGCCGAGGGGCTGTTTTGACGCCCGAGCAGGTCCTCGGGACCCTGTGCTGTGCTGCCTCTGCTGGTCACACCGGCCAAGTGGTCCTAGGGGCTCAGACTTCCTTCTGTAACGCGGACGAGTCAGAGCTGAGCATGGGTGGCCTGGTGCCATTCTGGGGCCCCAGGAGCCCCTGACTGACAGATCGTAATGGAGATTCAGAGAAAGGGACGAGGCCTTCCAGCTAAGGAGCGTCCAGGCAGAGCCCCTGCTGTGCTGCTACCATCCTGGACAGACCCTTGGGACTTCTGTCCTCTCCTCCTTCGGTGCTTGATCCCTCAAAGTCCCCTGAAGTGCTGTGCTCTGTGGAGCTGGCCGATGGCAGTGCTCACGATGGGTTTTGTGTCTGCTCTGTGTGCCCCTCCTCTCCAGCTCTGTCCCAAATGGGCTACAACTTGAGCCCCCAGTTCAGCCAGCTCCTGGTCTCCCGCTACTGCCCGCGCTCCGCCAACCCCGCCATGCAGCTAGACCGCTTCATCCAGGTGTGCACCCAGCTGCAGGTGCTGACCGAGGCCTTCCGGGAGAAGGACACCGCTATGCAGGGCAACGTTCGGCTCAGCTTCGAGGACTTCGTCACCATGACCGCTTCTCGGATGCTCTGACCCAGCCCATCCGTAGAGAGTGGCGTGCACTGGGGCACCTCTCCTGGCTCTTCGGAGTGGGAGAAGCCTGTGGGCCGCTCTCCTTTTCCTGCTCCTCCTGATACAGCGCTGTTCGCCAAGAGGGCCGGGACCCCTGTGTCATAGCCACCAAAGAGTGGGGTCCTGGGCTTGATGTAGGAGAGGACTGGAAGTTACATATCCTTTCAGCCCTGAGCATGTCAGTGGCACAGCCTTGCAGCAGGAGCAGGAGATACCAGTCATTGTGATCGGCTGAGCTCCAGCCTCTATCTTTCCCTTCTGTGCCCCAACATAAGTGTTCATCAGCGTTTCACTATGAGCACCTGTGTCCCCGAACCCGCGCAGTCCTATCAAATGAAGCCAGTTTCTCCAAAGTGGAATCTGACAAGCGTGAAAAAGATGTGCCCAAGGGACCAGGGGCTTGCACTCCACTCCTCCCCACCCCCCGTCCCATGTCCACAGTCGTGTGTGTCAACTCCTAGCCACCTGGGGCTGTCCCGGCTCGGGGAGTTTGGGCAGACTGCTCTCTGGGCATGTTGGGCCAGGCTGCTGCACTCTTCAGCTTGGACCCCTCCCTTGCCCACCACTCTGCCTGGCTTCAGTCCCCAGGGGACAGTTGCCACCTCCCTCTGCCAATGCCCTTTTCATTCAGAGCCAAAAGTTCAGTGAAACTGTAAGCTTCAATAAAAGGATGAACTCTGTTCCACATTTTCCACCATACCTTCCCAGCTACAGGTTTATGTGCTCATCTGTTCAGTCACTCATTAATCCTTTCATTCAACAAAGATTTAAGCATCTACTGTGGACCACGCCACGCAAAAAGCAGCAGCAGAGGGGGCGTCGTCTACCTGAGGCTGCTGCCACTCATCAGGGTGAAGTTGGAGGATAGGGGGCTGGGCTCAGCTCAAGAGGCCGATTCTGTGTTTTAGAACTGTGTTAGGGCTGGCGTTCTGGGCTGGACGCAGCCACTCCAAACTTTACAGCCTGGCCTTTTTATTCTCTCGAGCCCTGGTTTTATCCTCCAGACAAACTGCACTTATTAAGTCATAACTTTCCCCCCGTGTTTATTAAGCCCAGACAGCTGTACTGGTCTGCTGGCTTTTCCGATCAGCACGATAACCAGTCTACACGGAATGTCCATAGTGAGCTGACAGAATTTCAGTCCAAAGCCCAAACACCAGACACCTGGTTTGCCTGGGGGACCTTATCACGGGTGATGGTGTGAGAATCCTTTTGCTTTGGGGTGAAGGTAAGAACTCCCAAGCCCTCGGCCGGGCTCTCCTCTGCAGTGGACGGCTGGGGAAAGAAACTACGGCTCTTTGGCAGCTCAGTGAGGACCAGCAGGTATGTTGGCCTGGGCAGTTCAGTCCCATTCTCTATAGGTTAGAGTCGTAGAATTAGATGCATTCCCAGAGGCCAGCCACCATCCAGAGCTCGAGCCCCTCATGGCCCCATGTGAGTCCAGCCTCTGCTTGCCAACCCTCTAGATGCCTGGAATCTGCCACACATTCCCCCCCTCCCCGGTCCTGGGCTCTTCAGCTTCTCACTGAGCATCTCTCCCCTTGTCATCCTGGTCACGTCCCTGAATTTTCTCCAGTTCATCATAAGGCGCACATGGCACTGGGTTCAACCAGCAGAGAGTAGGGGAAGCTTCTGTTGTTTCTTTGTTCCCACTGAGCCAAGTGTCTACTGAAATCACCTTTAGAACGATGCCTGTCATATCGGCCTTGTGCTCAGCTGGGGCTGAGGAGCCTAGGACCCAGCTTGGTCCTTGTGGGCACAGTTGGTGCTGAGCGTGGGGCCAGCCCTCACACCTCATTCTGCACACTGCACTTCCAAGCCTGGCTACAAGCTTGACCAACAGCTCTGGATCCTAAGGCCAAAGGACTGTAAAATGGGCAGGACAGCCCAGCCCAGCTGACCACAGCTGCACATCTGGGGAAACGCCCACGATGTGCAGGGCTGGTGAGTCATCTAGAGAGCAGGTGACGGCCCACACCTTCCACGTGTCCTGGTGATGCCTGCGAGGAGGGGTGCTTACCATTCCTGGGCTGGGCCCCTGTCAAGACCATGGTTTTGCCCCACTTCCTGATGGGTGAGGTCAGAGGGGGGCTGTGGCTTTAATCAGTGCACATGGCCCGGCCGGCCTCTGCCAGATGCCTCCCACTCCTCAGAGCAGCGCTTCCGTCTGTGCTCCCCCTCCTGCCCCGACAACAAGGCGCAGGGCCCCTGGCAGCCCTCTAATCATCTCGGTGGCAGGCGGAGCACGTCCAGCCAAGTCTGGCTTTCCCTTTATCCTGTGAGTCCCAGTGAATAAACAAAGCCCCGATATCCAAGAAGGCGATGATAATAGGAAGTCGGTCTGTTACTCTGCTGTCTGCCCACCCTGCCCCCCTTACCTCCCATCGCCCACTGGGCCCATGAGCAGACAGATATGTCAAGGGTTGAGGTCCTGGGCCTCAGAATGGGCACTGCCTGAGGGAGCAGCGCCACGTGTGCCCTGAGGCCTGGCCAGGAGCCACAGGGATCGGTGTGGGGGATGGAGGTGGGAGTAGTCAGCAGACAGCATTCCATGCGCCTTGTCCTCTCTCCCCACCCCACCCCACCCCGACTTCCCCACCTTCCTCGCTTTTAAGAGGCACAGATTTTGTGCAATGACAAGGAAAGGGAACATTCAGTGCCAGCTTTTAATTACAATTGCTTTGGGCTGCTGGCCTCCACGCCAAATGGTCACATGGAGAGCGTTTTATCACACCACAAGCCGAAGGATCCAGTCTGTGGTGTGTGCACGCGGCACCTGGTGAGGGTGGGGCTGTGTTCCCACAGGGAAGGGCTGGGCCCCGTTCGTTCAGGCGGGCAGCGGACAGGGCTGGCCGAGTGCAGCCTGGGCTTAGGGAGTCACTGGGCTGGACGGGAAGGTTGCGGGGCCCTCCCAGGAGACTCCAGGGAAGGCCTGTAGTCAAGGAGGAGGGGGTTTTTGGGGAAGAAGGCCAAGCTCTGGAAGGATGATGAGGATCGATGGTGCTGTGAGGGACAGCCGAGTGAGGAATACAATGAGAATCTTGTCCACGACACTACAATTTACAGAGAGCTTTCCACTTTCTTGAGCATGCTTAATCCTCACATCAATCCCGTTTAGGGGACACAGCTCAGAGAAGGGGTGTTACTTGCTCAGAGTCAAACAGGTAGAAAACCAGGACCGGAACCCTGGTCTCACTGTGTCCATAGCGGTCAGGGCTGGTCCCCCAGCAGCCAGAGGAGCAGTCCAGGCAGAGGACGGGTTGCACCCCCTGGAGCCACAGGGCAGCCTCGCTCAGGGCAGCACCGTGGTGACGCTGGTGACCACCACGTGCTCTGAGACTTTGGAGACGGAACAGCGGCTCTGCAAGGACAAGGACTTGTGCCTGGCAGAGGAGCGGGGGCTGGGGGTCCTCAGAGAGCCGCAGGGACCCAGGCGGGGCAGGCAGCAGGAGAAGGCGGCTTTGAACTGCTCCCGGAATTTGCCTTGGTTGGGAGACAGAAGACACAGCCATCAGGAGACGGATGCAGCAGGAAGCTGCCTGTGAGGGGGTGGGAGGGGAGGGTGGAGTGGGATGGAGAGAGCCCCAGGGCCACATCATCACTGCCAGGGAGAGGACAGAGGCCGGGAGCAGCTTCCCAACGAGAAATGCAGTTTTTATCTGATTCCTTGACTGCGCTCTGGCTCTGAGCCCGGCTCTGACCATGTAAACCTGGTGTCTGCCTCAGGGGCCTCAGATCATCTCTGCCCTCCTGGGCGTGCAGGTGGAGGGGCTCAGGGCTCACGGAGGCTTTCCCTTCTCTGTCCCCTGGTAATGAAGATGACAGCAGCAGCAGCCCTCACACCAGGCATTGTGCTGGTGCCTCAGCACCCTGGGGGCCTGGGGTCCTTTATCCTCACTTCATAGATGACACACAGAGGTGCAGGCTTGCCCAAGGTCACCAGCTAGCCGTTGGCCCTGGTTCTAACGCGAAAGCCTTTTGTCTAAATGGGAAGGGTGAGTGGGGAAGGAGGGACTACCACAGCCACCTTGTTCAGCCAGGGCACCAGGGAGACAGATTTTATCCGGAACTGAAACCTTGATCATGTTTCAGCGTCCCGCCAGCCTCCAGTGCCCAGCAGAGGGCCTACCTAGCACACAGTAGGTGCTCAGTCAATGTAACTGAAAAGGAAGGCACTGTGCCTGCTGCAGCGTGCATCTCTGTGAGCTAGAGACCACCTGGCCAGTCTTTGTTCAGTAATTCTTGGGTCTCATGAGGGTTATTATATTGACCTCAGGTCCCTTTCAGCCTTTTCTGGAAGATTATTTGTGTCCAGGCCTGAACAGTCATCTGGACCAGTTCTTTAGGCTGTAAGTCAGCAGTCAGGTGAGTCACCCTTTTGCTGGGCTGGGGGACTGTGTGGAAACGGAGGTGGAGGGCATGGGAAGTGCGGGACAGGAGAGAGGAGGCCCAGGTTGGGGTGGGGGACCGGGAGGCCTGGATTTCCAGAGTGGGGAGCAGGAGGACTGGTGCTGGAGGAGGGGGGATCCAGGGATGGGGCCCCCTCCCCCAAATTCTGGCCCCTCTGCCAGTGTGTCTAGCTGGGCATGGGGAAGCCCTCTCCCTGCCCTGGGCTGCCTCTGCTGGTGATGCCTGGAGCCCCGACGATGCCTTGATTACGCAGCCACCCCTCAGGCCCCCTTCCCACAGGCCCGCTTCCCTCTGGAGGTCCTGCTGTGCACACACCTGGTGGGGGTGGAGACGAGCCGTCCTACTACTGCCCTCCCCACCCACTCCCTGGTCTGCATAATCTGCAAACCTGGAGCCTGGGTGCTGGTCAGCTTCCTTTGGCCACAGTTGGGACTGGGGACTGTTGCTGCCCTCGGCCACTCACCACTGAGGAAGTTGTAGATGATGGGGTTGGCCGCGCTGTTGGCGTACACCAGCCAGTGGGAGAAGGTGAAGCAGGCATAGACGGCTTCTCGGTCGCTGGCTTGGTGGAACATCCCGAACACCCTAGGACCGCGGGGAAGAGTCAGAGATGGGGCAGACGTGTGTATGTGTTTATGCTCATAAGCTACAGGGCGATAAAGTACAGGAGTTCCCACTGCCCCTTCCATCCACCCCTTCCCTGGGCCTCTGGGTCTGGGGTCTTGACCACAGTTTTGGGTTCTTGGGCACAGAGTCTGACTGGAGTGGACCTAGAGGCAGGCACCAGGGCACATCTGCTCAGTCACCGGCTATCTGACCCCCTGGGTCTCCCCATCCATGTTCTCACCCATCTTCACAGCAACCTGGTGAGTCATAGACACGCCATTTTTCAAACAGGCTCAGGGAAGTCAAGGGACTGGCCCAAGATCACTCAGCCAGGAAGTGGCCACACTAACTCTCACTGAGATGTCTCATGTCAAATAGTCTGTGTCCTTTTCCTGCACCCCGAGGCCTCTCACTCATCTATCCTCATCATCCTCCCTGACTACAGTGACACCAGAGTGACATAACATTCATCCTTCCCTTCAGGTCTCTGCCAAATGTCACTTCCTCAGAGAGGTCTTCTTTTAAAAACATATGCTCTTTTTTAAAAAGATTAAAAAATAAAACCACCAGCCCCTGTCACCACCACTCTCTATCCACTCTCCATATTTTTTTTTTCATAGCAATTGTCACTGCCTGGCATTATAATGCATATTTATTTCTTTCTCCCGTTGGATGTGGCCTCCGCGAAGGCAGGGATTCTGTACTGTGCGCTGTTTACTGTGTTCCCAGCCCTACCATTTGACGAGTGAGTGAGTGGGTGAAAGAATTTTCACAGTAGCCCTAGGAGGCCAGGACTGTTACTATCACATGTTACAGATGAGGGAACTGAGGCTCCAAGAAATGACCTGCCCCAAGGTAATACCATAGCTTTGGGGTTAAGCCAGGTCTTTTTCCAAAGCAAAGACAGCGCCTTCCTCTGACCCCATAACCATCTCCTCACCCCTAAGCTCTCCCCAAGTGCTCTCACCTCTTCAGGACATTGAGGACGCTGATGGGCAGGTAGCAGAGGGCAAAGACCAGCAGCACCACCATCAGCATCTTGGCTGTCTTCCTCCGAGCGCGCATCTGCTTCACCTCAGCCAGGAAGGCCCGGGCCCGCGGCGGGGGCTCTGCGCCCAGGCCCTGGCCCTGCTCCTCCGGCTGGTCTGAGGGCCGCTTCCAGTTCCTCACCAGGGCCGACGTGGTGCCCGGGATCTGTCCGGCACACACAGAGACAGCGGTGGTGGGAGGAGCTCCTCGGTGGTCAGGCCCTTTGCTGGACTCTGCTTCGGGCTGGACCCTGGGGCAGGTGGAGGTGGGCGAAGGGAACAAACCCTTGCAATAGGAAGGAACCTAACATAACAGAGACCAACACTCTGGACTGAGTGTGAACACCTGCTTTCATTTCCCATCGGCTCAATTAGGCCTTTGGGGAAGATATTATCGGCCCTTGGTTACAGATGAGGCAGGGGACCCTTGACAACATCCTCCCAGCTCCCATCCATCCTCATGGGGTCACCTCCTCCATCTGTGGGGGTGGAGTGCAGGTGAATCTTCCTGTGGGGAAGCCTCGGCAAGACTGAGCCAGGGAACAGCATGGACTGGACTGGCCTCAGAGCACAGGTCCCAGCCTCGGTCGGCGCCCACAAGCCTATCGTGGTCCAGGCTCCTGGAGCAGCCACAGATGCCCTCGAAGCCCCTCCCACCGCTAGACACCTGAAGCTCCCCGCAGAGGGCATGCGGCCAGAGTGCAGGAAATGGGGCCGAGCCTTTCAGCCATTCCTGAGCTATGCGACCTTGCTCAGCGCACTGTCCTTTCCAGTCTGTGAGATCAGAGAGCGACTGCTGCCCTCTTGACTGGTGGCTGTGAGGAGCAGGTGGCATGTGTTGGTGGACGGAAGGCTGGTCATGCTCTGGCCTGCGTGCTCTCACTGCCCAGACACGGGCCCAGGACTCACTCCTGCTGGTGCCAGGGGTCCTCTGAGCACCCCCAGCCCCCACAAAACCTGCTGTGGGTCAGTGTGTAATAGAGGAAAGAAGGCAGGCCCTGGGCCCAGGAAGTCCCTGCCACTCATTGGCTGTGACAAGCTGGCTGCCACTACTCAGCGTCTGTAAAGTGGCAACATTGCTGCTCTGGTTAGACGGTCGTGAAGACATTGTGAGGAAAGTGCGTGATTTGGCGAGCGACACGGGGGTGCTGCTGTTGTGGTGAACTGAGCACTGGACCCCAGCGATCGCGGACTGAGAGCCTGGCCTGCCCCGCCCTGGCTGAGGGGTTTGGGGAAGCCACTTTGCCTCTGAGTCTGCGTTCTCCTATGAAGTTGGGGATTGTTTACGGTGGTTAAGGGGATCCAAGACTGGCCGGAAGTGCATGGGACCGCCAATGGCAGCTCCTGATACTGGAAGGTGTTCATTACTGTCCAGCTCCAGGGTTGGCTCTGCCACTTCAGCCTTGCGTTTGAAAGTGCCTGGGCCGTTCCTCTCTCTGGTTGCAGCCAGGATGGCATGTTCTAAGGCAGGGGACTGTCTATTCCCTTAGACCAGTGCCCTATCCCCTCCCAGCCCAGGCAGTGACACCAGAGTGGGCCTCACCTGGCGACCCCAGAGCTTGCGGAAGATCTGGAAATACGCCATGGCCATGAGGCCCAGTGGGGCCAGGTAGGTGACAATGAAGAAGCAACTGTGGTAGATCTTGGCATAGAGGTCATCTGCAGGGGCCAAGAGAGGCAGAGGTTGGGCCCCAGCCTGCCCTGCGTAGCAAAGCCACCTGACCGCGGCGACGGCCAAAGCAGGCAGCTGAGCCCCACAGGAGCACCTTGGCAGAGAGACGCTGGAGTTGCCCAACCTGAGGGTGTCCATCCTGAGGCACCCCTAGCAGATGTCTTTACAGAGGAGGTACCCACCCTGAAGGTATCCTCTAAAGTGTCCTCTCAGAGACACCTGCCTGGGTGCCCTGGCAGCTGCCTGCTCCAGGAAATGTGCCCCAGAGGTGCCCCCTTCAGGAGTGCCTGCCCAAGGCTACCCCCGTTACCTGCCCAGCGTTCATCGCAGACAGAGAAGAGCCGGGTGCGGTTGGCAAGCTCGGGCAGCACGCTGCTGCATTCCATGACGGCAGCCTGGGGCACCATGACAGCCAGCGACACAGCCCAGATGCCCAGGATGGAGCCACGGGCACGCCGGGCCGTGCTCTTGAACAACAGCGGGTGGCAGATGGCATACCAGCGGTCCAGGGCGATGAAGCTGAGGGTTAGCACCGCCACTGACACAGACACGGCCTGCCCCGTGGAGACACCCTGTCAGTTCTCTCAGGGGCCACCCAGAGATGGGGAGTGGATGAGGGGATCACAGCCCAGGTGCAGGGCACCTCCTGGCTCCACCACATACTGGCTTGTGAGATTTGGGCAAATCATGCACCCTCTCTGAGCCTCACCTGCGAAGTGGGAATATACCATTCGCCTGGCAGGATTCTCATGGAAAGAAACGCAATCACGGATGGAAAATGTCTAGCTCAAGACTTGGCACAGAGTAGGTGGTCCCTGCATGTGTCCGAACATGGCTGTCTGTGTCTGTGCCTGTGTGGGGGGTGTGGGGGTCTCTGTAGGAGTATGTGGGCCTGGGGCTGTGTAGGGATCTCTGTAGGAGTATGTGGGGCTGGGGCTGTATGTGGGGATCTCTGTAGGAGTATGTGGGCCTGAGGCTGTGTGTGGGGATCTCTGTAGGAGTATGTAGGGTTGGGGCTGTGTGTGGGGTCTCTGTAGGAGTATGTGGGGCTGGGGCTGTATGTGGGGATCTCTGTAGGAGTATGTGGGCCTGAGGCTGTGTGTGGGGATCTCTGTAGGAGTATGTAGGGTTGGGGCTGTGTGTGGGGTCTCTGTAGGAGTATGTGGGGCTGGGGCTGTATGTGGGGATCTCTGTAGGAGTATGTGGGCCTGAGGCTGTGTGTGGGGATCTCTGTAGGAGTATGTAGGGTTGGGGCTGTGTGTGGGGTCTCTGTAGGAGTATGTGGGGCTGGGGCTGTATGTGGGGATCTCTGTAGGAGTATGTGGGCCTGAGGCTGTGTGTGGGGATCTCTGTAGGAGTATGTAGGGTTGGGGCTGTGTGTGGGGTCTCTGTAGGAGTATGTGGGGCTGGGGCTGTATGTGGGGATCTCTGTAGGAGTATGTGGGCCTGAGGCTGTGTGTGGGGATCTCTGTAGGAGTATGTAGGGTTGGGGCTGTGTGTGGGGTCTCTGTAGGAGTATGTGGGGCTAGGGCTGTGTCCTCCAGTGTCGGGCTGATGGCCTGCTCTTACTGACAGTAGAGAATGACACCACCCATGTGCTGAGTGACCGTGTCCCATCTGAAAGGCAAGTCTGAGGGTCCCTGAGACTTCAGGAAGGCCATGGTTTCTGTACTTGGGGTGATGGGGTGATGAGGGTCACCGGGCAGAGCTCACCTGTAGGTAAGGGATGACCTTGCAGAGGGCATGGCCGAAGAGCCAGGACTCGGTGATGTCCACCAGCAGGCTGGCTGGCAGGCAGATGGCCGTCACCAGCACGTCTGCCAGGGACAGGTTGACGATGAAGTAGTTGGTGACGGTCCTCATGTGGTGGTTGCGCCACACGGCCAGGCAGACTGCGGGGTGGGCGGGATGAGGGAAGCGGGAGGCAGAGCCATGCCCATCCCAGCTCACAGCCCATCAGCGAGCCCCCACCCCACCCCCCGCAGCACACACACACACACACACACACACACACACCACCCCGCACCGAGGCAGAGGCTGGGGTGAAGAGGAGAGGAGCCGGGCCCAGGACTCCTGCCAGTCCCCAGGGGAATCCCGCAGCACCACAGGGACCGCATGGACCTACCCAGCGTGTTGCCCACCAGGGCCACGAGGAACACAACCACGTAGGCGGCGATGAGCACCCACTCGTACTGCTTCGGGAACAGGTAATCACGCCACAAATAGCTGAGAAACTCATCTTCATAGTCAGGAGGCACCGGGGACGGTTCCCTGCTGCCAGCGGGGCCCCCCATCTGGGCCCCCGGGGTGGCCGAGGGCTCCATGAGCTCAGAAGCCGCTGCGGCCGAGGTCCATCATGGTCTCCGCAGGCCTCAGGGGACCCGGAGCCCTGCACCCAGGTTTTTGGGGTCCCAGCCCCAGATCTGAAGGAAGGGAGGGAGTGAGGAAGAAAGAAAACATTAGGGAATGTGCCGGGCAATTTGCATATAAACTCCCTCTTAATCCCCTAAGCTCTGTGCTGTGGGGATAGTGGAGAGGGACAGACCTGGCTCCGTCCAGCCTCGGTTTCCCCATCTATTCAGTGGAGTAATGACCACACCTACCTCACGGGACTGCAGTGGGAGCAATGAGCTCTAAAGCATGCCCAGTGCTCTACCCAGAAGCAGGCGCGGAGCGGCTTCCCCATTATTAGAGAGCCCTGCTTTGACGGGAGGAGGTAGAAGCTCAGAGAGGTTGAGCCCCTCGCTCAAGGTCACAAAGCTACTATGCCAGGTCTGTCTGAATCCACCAAACCACAGATTTGAGAGACGAAGCCATCTGGTTGCAAGTATTCTCCCCTGAACAGTTCACAGGCCTGAATTTTTGGTTGGAAAAATAAAAGGTCAAGGGACCTTAGAGACCCGGGCCCCGCCCACTACACCTGCCAGACCCTCCCGGGTGGACACACACACACACACACACACACACACACACACACACACACACACGGTGGAGCAGAGGCGCAGGGGGAGCTGGAGACCCACTCTCTGGAAGTGGGGAGAGAGCCCCTCTTGAGTCCCCGAGGCCGCTATGCGACCCGGCGGCCGCCAGGGGTCGCTGGGGGCCGGCGCGCAGGACGCTCCCTCCATTCATAAATCCGGCCTCGCTCCCGCCCCTCCTCTCTGGCTCAGACCCTCCTTCTCCGAGGCTGAGCGGGGAGGACCCCGGACTTGTGAGGGAGGTTGCGGGGCCCTGGAGACCCCTGGGAGAGGGGGAGGGAGCTCCTTCATATCCCCACCGAACATCGGCGGACCCACTCCCTGAGCAGGACCTCCCTGCCCCTCGGGAGCTGAGGGGCTGCAGGGTGGGGCGAAGCGGGGCAGCGCTTTAGGGGTTTTGCAGGAGGAAGCCTGCTGGGGTCTCAGCTTCCCAGCCCCAGGCTATTCCCCGCCCCCAGACTCTGGCTCCTGCCGAGAGTCGTTTGGAACCCCCACCCTGGGTCTGGGGGTCTCCCACGCCCCGCACCTGTTGGCTCGGGGACCCGGGCGTCCTCGGTTGCTGATCCCCGGACCTTGCAGCGGGGACTTCGCCTCCCTGCGCCGAAGGCCGGGTTCCTGGGGGTGCTGTGCTCCACAGCGGGCTGTGGCTGGCGCGGGCTCCGCTGGGCTGCACGCCGCCGGGAGAGGTGGCCGGGGCGGGAGGGGCAGGGCGGGAGGGGAGCCCCCACCGGGCTCCTCTTCTTGTCTCCCAGCCTCGAGACCCGGAGGGCGGAGGGAGATGCTCGGGCCTCCTCACCTCCCACTTCACGCTGCCGTCCGCCCCCATTCATGCGTCCATCCGTTCATTCATACCTTTCGCCTTCATTCAACATTTCTGCCTCCGGCCATTCCCCACGCAGGCGTTCGGAGCGCACCTACTGTGTGCCCGCGGCCCTGCCTGGGCAGCTTGGGAGAGTCACGGTGCAGAAGGAATCCCAGCTCCACCTCTCCTGGCTGCCTCCCCTAGCTGAGGAGGGTGGCACCGGTGGGTCACAGGGTGAACAGGACGCCTGCACCGCCCCCAGCCAAGCCCTGGCTGCGGTGGGAGCTGCTAGCTCCCAGCGATGTGAGAGGCCCTGTGCCCATCTCCCAGCCCCGCTTCTATCTGACCCCCAATCCTTTTTATTCACACCTACGTTCCTCCTCCCAAGACAGAGATGGGAGGTGGAGGCGGAAAGTGGGGAGTCAGAGGGGCTGGTTGTGTCAACAAACATTTGCTAAGCAGGGGAATCCCACTGAGGCCATGGGCGTCAGTAATTCAGCTGCCATTGATCTAGCCCTGGACACGCATGATCTCATGTGATCAGTCCAGTGAGGCGGTTGTCACTGTCCCCATTTCACAGGTGAGAACACGGCACTGACAGGGTCAGCCCAGGCCACACAGCAGAGCGCAGCTCAGAGTCAAGCTTCTCTCCAGGTCTGTCCCTCCTCACCACACAGAGTGCCGGGCTGGCCGGACTCGCAGCCTGGCGAGTCCCCTGTGGTGTGAAGAGAGCGGTGAGGAGGCTCATGGGGGCTGCGGCACAGAGGACAGATGGACCCAGCCAGGGCGTCAGGACAGGCGTCCTAGAGCAGGAAACTGCCCACAGACCCGAGGAATGAGAAGGTGGCCCTGAAGGGGATTGTGGTAGCCGCAGAGGGAATTCGAGTTCGAGGAAACCACAGGTGCAAAGATGTCAGGTCAGGCCTCCCAGGAAACACAGGTAGCTGAAGGGCGACCTCCAGGGCACCAGGCAGTCACCTTGGCCACCACCCCCTCCACCACCACCACCACCACCCCCCCCCTGCCTTAGGAAATGACCTTCCTAACACAGCAGCCCCACCCTCCTCTCTCACCTTGGAGACACCCTTCCCTCCTGGGAGGCGATGCCTGAGATGTAGCCTCCATCTTCTTTGTTGCAGCCAAAGCCTCTTTTCAAAGGATCTGGAGCCCTGAGTGTGTAAGGAGAGCTGGGGCAGCACAGGGGGCCGGTCCAGCGCCCTTCGCCTCCCCAGAGCAGCAGGGTGGAGTGAAGGCGACCCTGAGGCAGACTGTCCTGGGCAGGCACGGGCGCACAGTGGGTGATGGGTCATACAGCCCTCTGGTTGCAAAGCTCTGCCCTGCCGCCTGAGGTGCTGGCAGAGGTAAAGGAACAGGTGAGGGACACAAGAGAGGAATAGTGTGTGTGTGCATGTGTGTGTGCATGTGTGTGCGCGTGTGTGTTTGTCCATGTCCCAGCTCTTGCGCCTGCCCCTACATGTGTGTATTTGAATGTCTGTATTTAAGTAAGGGTTGTGAGTGTGTGTCAGAGGAATCCCACGCGTGTGTTTGTGTCTCTGAGTGTGCATGTGGGTAGGGGACAGGCTCTGGGTTGATGACAGGGGTGTCGCCCTGGGTGGGATGTGTCTGGGAGGGTCTCTGTGTATTGGTGCTTTGGTGTTTGTGTCTATGAGGGACGTGTGTGTGTGTGTGTGTGTGTGTGTGCAGGTGTCTGTCTCTGTGTGTCTGGATGTGCGATTGTGGCTTTGACTCACATTGGCCTCCCAGTGTTCTCCCTGGAGTGAGGAGGTGAGTGTGGGCATGCCTGTGTCCATGGCTCTGTGAGCCTGCGTATGTGGAACTTAATATGTCTGCCCCCACAGGGATGACTCATCTCATCCCCCCACATCACCCTCCCCCGATCTCGAGCTGGACTGTTTGCGATGTAGGGGTTGGGGAGGGGCTGCAGTGCATGGGGGAGGGGAGGCAGAGCGTGCAGGGCACTGCGGGGAAACGACCAGCTGCGACGCGGAAGGTGCAGAGCCGCGTGTCTGCGTGGGCGGAGGGCGCCAGCCGAGCCCAGCACAGCCCAGGCCTAGAACCAGCCCTTGTTCAGAACTCCACAATTCAGGCTGCCTGGGCTGGAGTGAGCAAAGGGCTCCCCAAGTCCCCAAAATCATTGTACATAGGGGTGCAGGTGTCTGTGTGGGGAAGGAATCATGGCTGAGAATCCACCCTCTCACCCACAGAGCAGTCCCATCTCACTTTAAGAGGGATCCCAATTGCCGACCCCCTTCTGTACCCCTTGGTACCCAGAAGTGGCTGTTCCCCAGGACAAGGGATCCTGAGTGATTCTTCCTGCCCGGAGGCAGCAGATCTCTCTTCCTCCCCTATCAGACCCTGGCCAGGCAGGAGGCTCTGGGTCCCAGGTCCCTCTGGCCCTGACTCTGGCTCCCTCAGCTTCGGCCTGAGGGTGAGATGGGCCAGACATTCGGCCCAGAGGAGCAGGAGGGAGAGACCCGGGTGTGTGCTCAGAGAAGACCCGGGGCCTGCGTGGGGGCCAGTGATGCGATGGGAGACCCGCGAGGAGCGAGCGGGATGTTTGTCCTTGGGCCCAATAGCACTCACTGGCCTCTGGGAGCTCCTGGCAAAATGTCGTGTCCATGGGAGAGAACCAGGGACCTCCTGCCCTCCACCTGCAGGCTGGGCACTCAGCCCTGACACTTCCTCCGCCCCGGACGGTGGCCTGAAGCCTTTGCTTTGCCCGAGCTGTCTGTCACCCGGCGACCACATGACCTCTTGTTGATCTAATCCCGAGCCTCCGAGCCACAGATCCCTGTCACATCCATCTTCGGGTGTCAGCCCCGGCCCTGGCCCCAGGTGCTACCCCCTGTCCCTTCCAATTCCAGCGTGACTTACAGTAACCTCTGTCTGGCTAGGACTAGAGTAATTGAAATGTAATTGGGTTTTCAACTTGCCATGCTGCCACGGGCCTGGGAGGTGCCCGGGAGCTCTGCGGGCAGGGCAGAGGTGCTTTTAGAAGAACAGAGATCAGAAAACAAGCAGACGTGTGGGGTGGGGTGGGGTCGGGTGAGGGAGGGCCAGCAGTGACCGGGCTGTGGGCCGGGAATGGGGATTCTGAGGGCTGAGTCTAGGAGGCCACTGAGGCAGCAGGGGCGTTTTGGTCCTTGGTCTCCCCCCCCCCCACCCCCAGAGCTCCTGGCAAAGGGCCGTGTCCATGGGAGGGACCCAGGACCTAATGTCCTCCATCTGCAGACCTGGTGCTCAACCTTTGTGCCTCTTCTCCTTGGGGAGACCTGGCCCTCTTTCAGGGTTTGGGTGGCTTGAAGGGGACCAGCATCTACTGAGAGAACTGGGGGCTCAGGGCCCAGAGCCAGGCATCCTGGTGGCTTCACAAGCTTGAGAGCATCTGTAAGCCCCGGGCAGGAGCAAGAGGGAAGAGGCTGAGACAGCGGTCTTCTACCTGTGCACTCGCTCAGATAGTCATTCAGCAAACACTGGCAGCTGGGCTGCAGAGTTGGGGCCTGCTCGTTGCGGGGTAGACCCTATGTATGCAAATGGCTGGGGTGGGTATGAAATGCATCAGGATAAGAGCCTGTGAAGTCAGGGCAGGGGCAGGGAGGGGCCGGTTGGGACTGGGGCTAACAATAATAGTGCATGTGAACCCAAAGGAAAATCCATTCAGTCTCCCTGGTGTTAGCTCTAGTGTTAGACGGAGGCTGGGAGCTCAGGTGTTGGGGCCAAAGAGGCCTGGATTAGACTCCTGGCTCCGCCACGCCCTGCTGTGTGATTGTGCTCTCGTCACTTCACCTCCGTGACAGGCTGGGCAGTGGCCGCCAAACATAACTGCACCTAAACCCCGGAACCTGTGAGTACGACACATGACCTCGCAAATGTGACCAAGTTAAAAATCTTGAGATGTGGAGATTGTCCT